CCTGATGAGATAAAGTATCGGGTTTTTTAACGAGAAAGAGTCATTTCTTAAAATATTAGCTGAGGAAAGCATTTTCTTTTAGGAGCAAGGCAATATAAGTTAGTCCTCAGCTTATTACCAATGCAAACCTTGTACTTGGTGATGAATATTATCAGAATCCATGATCATTTAATATTGTAGGATTTGGCAGGCCAATCAAAAGATGTCTGTGCATGTTGGCTTTGTTACAATTTAAGTTAAACAGGGATGAAGCATTGAATACAGTATATCAAAAATCAAATCCCTCTGTTTTTTATTTTCTCTTGGGATTTCTTTGTACTTTTTTTTTCCTTTTTTTTAAGAAGGAGGAAAGAAGGAAAATAGTAATAGGTAGTAATAGTAGTAAAGTTGGAAGGGACCTTGGAGGTCATCTAGTCCAACCCCCTGCTCGGGCAGGAAACCCTAAACCATTTCGGACAAATGGCTGTCCAGTCTCTTCTTAAAAACTTCCAGTGTTGGAGCATTTACTGCTTCTGGAGGCAGGCTGTTCCACTGATTAATTGTTCTCACTGTCAGGAAGTTTCTCCTTAGTTCTAGGTTGCTTCTCTCCTTGATTAGTTTCCACCCGTTGCTTCTTGTCCTGCCTTCAGGTGCTTTGGAAAATAGCTTAATTCCCTCTTCTTTATGGCAGCCCCTGAGATATTGGAATACTGCTATCATGTCCCCCCTTGTCCTTCTCTTCGTTAAACTAGACATACCCAATTCTAGCAACCGTTCCTTATATGTTTTAGCCTCCAGTCCCCTAATCATCTTTGTTGCTCTTCTCTGTACTCTTTCTAGAGTCTCAACATCTTTTTTACATCGTGGTGACCAAAACTGGATGCAGTATTCCAAGTGTGGCCTTACCAAGGCATTGAAGAGTGGTATTAATACTTCACGTGATCTTGATTCTATCCCTCTGTTAATGCAGCCTAGCACTGTGTTGGCCTTTTTGGCAGCTGCAGCACACTGCTGGCTCATATTTAAGTGATTGTCTACTAGGACTCCGAGGTCCCTCTCACAGTTACTACTATTGAGCATGGTGCCACCTATGCTGTACTTGTGCATTTGGTTTTTCTTGCCTAAATGTAGAACCTTGCTTTTTTCACCATTGAATTTCATTTTGTTAGTTAGTGCCCAGTGTTCAAGTCTGTCCAGATCCTTCTGTATCTGAAGCCTGTCTTCTGGAGTGTTGGCTATTCCTGCCAGCTTGGTGTCATCTGCAAATTTGATGAGTTCCCCATCTATCCCTTCATCCAAATCGTTGATGAAGATGTTGAAGAGTACTGGGCCCAGAACAGAGCCCTGGGGCACCCCACTACACACTTCCCTCCATATAGATGCAGTTCCATTGAGGACCACTCGCTGAGTACAGCCGGTCAGCCAGCTACGGATCCATCTGGTGGTGGAATGGCTTCAAAGCCTCAAGTAATTTCCACAGTACCTAAGGTGGCTTCTTCTCTGGCAATACTACCAGCGCAACAACCTAAATCCAGATCACCACCACCTTCTCCTCCTATACAACCACTTACGGTAAAAGATTTGCAAGATGTTATGGGAAATGTTATATCTCAAATTAGAGGAGAAGTGAAGGAGATCTTAGTAGAGAATAATAATATTCTGAGGCAAGATATAGTTCTGGCCCTTAAAGGACTTGCTTCTATTGTTGAAAAGTTGGACTCTCATGTTGAAGAAGTAGGAGATAAAGTGGATTTATTGGAGGAAAAATTTGAAGGAATGGAAAAAAAGATGGAAATTTCACAAGATGAAATTGTTATGACTCAATACAGAAGTCTCTGGTTTTAAAGTTAATAATAATAAGACTAAAATATTGCCAAAAATATGACTAATTTGGATAAGGAGACTTTAGTTAGATTGACAGGCTTTGAAGTTGTTAATAAGGTAAAATATTTGGGGGTATTTTTATCTGCTTCTAATGCAAAACTGTATAAAAATAATTATGAGAGGTTGTGGCTTAAAGTACAAAAGGATTTAGACGATTGGAAAAAGTTGCAATTATCTTTGTTGGGGAGAATAGCAGCGGTCAAAATGAATGTTTTGTCAAAGTTTCTTTTTTTATTTCAAATGATACTTATTCTGAAGAAAGAGGTAAATTTAGATGAATGGCAGAAAGGTATTAATAAATTTATTTGGGCAGGGAAAAAAACAAGAGTAAAATTTAAAATTATACAAGATGTACGAGAGAGAGGTGGACTCAAGGTACCAAATTTGAAATTGTATTATGATGCCGTGGTTTTAACATTGATTAGTGATTGGATTAATTTAACAAATGTAGATATACTCCTTTTGGAGGGGTGGGATTTATTATATGGATGGCATGCCTATTTAATTTATAATAAGAAGGTGGGTAGGGCTTTTAAGTCTCATATTCTAAGAATTTCTTTACTTCGAGTTTAGAAGAAATATTACAGAACAGACTTAAGAATTCCATTATGGGCTATTCCAGGGCATGCAATAGAAGGAATAAGGAAAGGAGTGAAGATGGATAGTATTTCTTATAAACAATTACTTAATTGGGGAAGAATTGGCAATTAAAACATATAGATGAATTAGCACAAAAAATATTATTTATTCGTGGTTTCAGTATAGACAATTATTGGAAAGGTGGAAGATAGATTATAAAGTGGGTTTGATTAGAGAGGATGAGAACTTGTTGAAACAAATTAAAGATCAAAGCCGAACTCACATAAAAAGAATTTATGGTGTATTAATGGAATTGGATTCAGAAACAGAATTAGTTAAAGATTTCATGGTTAAATGGGCTCAAAATTTTGATGAGCTGATTTTATTAGAAACATAGGAGATAATTTGGGTGAGGAATGTTAAATTCACGCAAGCTCAAAATTTACGGGAAAATTTTTATAAAATGTTTTATAGATGGCACCTTGATCCACAAAAGATATCTTGTATGTAAATTTGGCAAATTTGGCAAATTTGCAACCTAAATGTTGGAGATGTGGTTGTCTGGATGCAACGTATTATCATATTTGGTGGTCATGTAAAAGCATAAAAGCTTTTTGGATTAAGATATGGTAAAATATTCAAAAAAAATTTAATAGAAGGATAAAATTCACTCCACAATTGTTTTTGTTAGATATGGTAAAGATGATGATAAAGAAATTATTTTAATGTTAAATCTAATCACAGCGGCAAGGTTGTTGATAGGACAATACTGGAAGAAGGAATTTTTGCCTACTTTGGAGGAATGGTTTTTTAAAGTTTCTTACTTATCTGAAATGGCAAAAATTTCGGCTTATTTGAAAGATCAATCGCAAGAGAAATATCTCTTGGTGTGGAAAAGATGGATAAACTTTATATAGTATAAGTATGATATTAAAAGATATTCTTTAGCTTTTGAATAATTTATGTTTAAAGTTTAAGATAATAAGTATTTTTTATTATATATATATATTGGATTTAAAGTATTTAAAAATTTGTTTTTTTTTAATGTAATATTTGTTTGAGGTTTATTTAAGCTTAAATGTTTTGTATTTTTAGTTCTAGTTAACCGTGTATTCAGCTCTGGGAAGACGGGGGGGGGAGGGTTTCTGGGAGGGTAGGGAGAGAGTGGGAGAGGGATTTTATTGTAAAATTGCAAAAAATTTTAATAAAAAAAAATAAAATAAAAAAATCAAATCCCTCTGGAAGAGATGAAAAGCACACTTACTCAGGTTTCATCAAAAGCAATACCTGTTTGCATCAGCTGAACTTCATTCCTAGGAAGGGTTTTGCTGTTTATATACTGTTCTACTGCAATGATTCATACCAGTGCTTTTTTTGTAAAAAAAACCCCACAGGTGCCGGAACTCACACATGTCATGCAACCCGCCATGCCTACCCTACAAGGTTCCATCCAAAAAAGGTGCCAGACCTCTGTTCTGGGTGTTTTATAACCAAAAAAAAAAAAACCCCTGCCTCTAATTATGCACATGTAATTGTTAAAGTTCTTGCTTGTGAGCCTGAACCTTGTCCCTCCCTGACACTATTAATCACTAGTAGATGGCCTTGGCAAATGATTTCAAAAACAAAGAGATGCACTTTTATACTAGAATACAGGAGATTGCAAGAAAACAGCTAACGATGGGTAACAGCTGGAGGAAGGAGAAGCTTAGAAGCTTAATTTTAGAAATCTAAGCCTTTACTTAGCAATGCTATGTCCAAGAATACTGAGTAGAATCAATTTATGCAGGAAAGCACAAAAAGTCCTGCACATTGTGAGTGAGCTTTTTTGAAAATGTTGCAGATCTCCAACAATGTTACCTGTATTTCTAAAAAGGCTTGTATTATTCAAAAAGCTTTACAAACCTACTTCTTTCTTATCTCTCACTTAATACTGTTCACTAAATCTATACTCTAGAGCCAGTTAGGTGTAATCTTGAAGGTGCCGGCCTTGAAACCAGGAGTCTGTACATTGTAGTCCCATCTTAGGAAGGAAAAGCACTGGATGATTTGGGGCCAGCCATTCTCTCAGCACCATTCACCTCACAAGGTGGTTGTGGTGGGGAAAAATCAAAGCTAGAAGTATTAGCTATGTTTGCTGCCTTGACTCATTTGTGAAAAGGCAGGATGAAAGTATAATGACAATAACAGGAAGAATGATAATGCTTGAATAAGTCACTGTGCAGTGATAAAACAGAAAGGTAGAAAGAAGTTCACTCCCATTTTACAGTATAAGATTGAAGATGTCAAATCAACACCACTCCATTCTCCTCACAGCCCTCACTGACTGTAAGCAGAAGAAATAAGGGCCTTTTATTCCTCCTTCACTCATTGTCACTCTGTTCTCTCTTCAGATCCAGGGCAGAAATCCGAGTCAGATTCTGCTACTGCACTAGAACAACAACATTTAATAACAGGTTCATCTCTGATGGTAGCTCAGACTAAAGCAAAGCAAATGAACTAACAGAATATTCTGAATTTTGGGGTGCCTTAGTTTATTTTTTTCTATCCTTTTTCTGCAGAAAAGGTCTGTGACTATATCCGCATAGAAAATGGAAGAATGACAGATTATTTGGAACAGTACAAACCATTTCCAATACGGCATCAACAAACAATTCAGTTTCTTTGCTCTCCTGGTTTTCTGCCTGCAAACAAACAGAATAGATGGCAAACAGCTACATGCATTGATTCCCGCTATGTCCCAGAACCAAAGTGTTTCAGTGAGTAATTCTTTCCCCTTTGCAGTAGATATTGCCAAGTATAAGCAAAACAGGCCAGATGCTATCCTGACCTTGTTTACCTTTGAAGAAGTAGCATCCTATAGAGATTTCAGCCTGTTTGGTTCTTCTGCCTGCTTCCACTGCTGTCTTTCTCAAGGGTTGTTCTGAAGCCTACAGTTTGCAACAGAAGGTGTACTGAAACTTTAAATGAGAGAAATAAAAGCTGAGTCTTTTATAAAATATAAACAGAAAACTAGGATTCTTCCTCATCAGTTTCCTCCTCTCTTCATATCTTGTAATCTATGTGAAATATGTCAGAGCACACACAGTCTTATTGTGCAAAATAACCCGGGATACAATAAATAGTGGTTTGTATCAAATGGTAGTTTATCTTACACTATCTACAATATCATACACCAGGAACAATATACATACACATGCTAATACAGCAGGATCCAGCAAACCACAATTACAGCAGGAAACGGAAGAGATAGAAAGACACACTAGTAAAGCCTTCCCTTTATACATAGGCTCTTAAGGGACACAGACCCTGCTGAGTCATTCCCATCATTACATCTTACCTCTTAAATTACATTACATCATTACATTTTGTTATAGCATTACATAAGCTGGTTAGCTATTAAATCAGTACCTTGGCATTCCACCCATTTAAAGTTAAACAGCTGTTAACCCAAATACCTTTATATTGATGCTTGTCTGCATTTAAAGGCTTAGTCAACATATCAGCTTGAACAATTGAACATTTTTTCTGTGCGTAAATTCCTGTGCAGCTTACCATGCCTTATACTGCAGTTCTTTATCGTCTCTGTGAATTAGATATCATACATCGCATGAATTGCCTCCAAGAAACATAAAAGATAAAACCAAGTTGCTCTTTTTTGCTTTCAGAATCATGTGATCCTTCTCTATATATTTCTTATGGTGGCTTCATTTATAATTACTGGAAATTGTACATAGAAGGTAACAACATTACATTTACTTGTAATAAGGGATATTCTCCTGCAAACCAGCAGTCAACAGTCACTTGCACAAAGAGGGGATGGTCACCTCCTCCAAGATGTATCGTAACAGGTAAACTGTAGGAATGTCACTAAAATTGCCTGACCTCAAATTGCTTATCATGCTTTGCTGTATGTATGCCTGTGTGTGTGTGTATGGTTTGTTAACAATTAATCATTGTTTTCATTTTATTTATTATTGATGTGTTTTGATGTGCAAAGGGGATTTGGTGTTGTCTCCAATGAAGATCTAAGGACCACTAAAAATTGTTGAGTATTGGGCAATATACAAATATAAAAGTAAATGAATAAATAAATGGCAATTATCAAGGAACAGAAAAATAAACAGTAGCAAACATCAAAATTACATGATAATACATTTTAACAAATATTTTTCAACTAAAACAATTGTCTGCATCTAGTACATTTTAAAAACTTCAATATGTGTCTGTGGGTGTGTATATTTGCATAAAAAGAATTAGATCTGTGCTATCCAAATACTTTCACAATTTCACAAAAGTCTTAAAATATGACACTCCCCTAAATGTAGTCAGTGAAGCTGTATTGTGTCTAAAGGTTAGATCATGGCAACTGGGCCAAACTTTGTTAATTTAAGATATTTCATTGCTCATCCAAACAACTTCATTAGTCAGAGCAAAATTAGTTAGGCAGAGAGCCAGAGAGGCATTTTTGGCAACCCCCTGAAATGGTTGTTCAACCCCAAATGGGGTCCCGACCCACAGGTTGAGAACCACTGCTCTAGGGAGCTAAAATTGTTATTTCTTAAATAGGCAGTTTAAATATGGATGGTAGACTCTCCTCTCATTTGACTAAGTCACATCTACTCTGATTAGCCCATGTTGAAAGAGACGATATAAAGAGACATTTTAAGAAAGGTTGGCTGAACTTGGTCTTTGTTTAATTCAGACCTTCAGTATGAGAAAATCTGTAATAAGAAGGAGACTAAAATGTTTTTCTTCTTCTTTTTATACATGGAATATTTTCTTGCTTAAAAGAGGTTTGTGTATGTTAGGCAGTTTACTTCATGACTGATAATAGTTGAGAGACAAAAGGAAAAGGGAGGGACAAAGAGAGAGAAAAATCCATTTACATAGATTTCTAATCATTCTATCCTATTGCAACATAGAATTTCTAACCTAAACTTTAATCTCTTTATTAAAGGAATTCTTTAGTATCAAACTTTCTATGTATCATTTGATCTGTGTTCTTTTGCAGTTCCTTGTACAGCAAGTGTAGAAGATATGAGAGAACACAATATAAGGCTGAAGTGGACCAATGGGGATAAAATATATTTCGCAGATGGAAATATCGTTGAATTTCAATGTATAAGAGGCCATAAACCACGTCCAAATACTAGATCATTTAGAGTTCAGTGTGTGGATGGGAAATTTGACCTTCCGGATTGCATTCCAGTATGTATATTTTCAGAAAAATATTTTAATTCATAAACATTAACATTTATTTTCCTTATCTATATATATCTATATATCTGTTTTTAGCATTCTTAAGAATATCTATATCTATATCTATCTATCTATCTATCTATCTATCTATCTATCTATCTATCTATCTATATCACTATATCTATCTATCTCTATCTATCTATCTAGATCTCTCTCTCTTTCTCTCTCTCTCTCTCTCTCTCTCTCTCTCTCTCTCTCTCTCTATATATATATATATATATATATATATATATATATATATATATGCTGGAAAATTTGCATAAAAATACGACTCCTGGGCATGTCTATGGTACAAATAAAATACGAACACCAGGAGAGTATAAATATAAAAATATACTTTACTAAAAGCTGTCAAGCTTTCGTTTGGAAACTCCAAACATCACCAGGGCTAAGGAGCCAGTAAACAATGATGACTTAAATGGGTTTTGCCGGCATCTGAAGCCGGCTCATGGACCGCGTCACTGGTCCCGGTTGGTTAATTAGTGTTCCAAGTGTTTCTTTATTACTCTCCTTACGCTTCCTTCTATGGTTCTTCCAGATCATTCCTTCCACTATCTCATTACTGGTATTCATCTCCTCCACCACCCCTTTATCCTTATTTCCTTCCATGGCACTGACCCTCCTCCCCTTTTTGTTTTTATTCTCCACCCTGGGGGCATCTGTTTCTCCTCTATCAGTGTTACAAGCTTCCCTGGGCTCACAGACGCTCCCCCACACACACGCTTTTCCCAATCCCTGCTCCACACCCTTTCTTTTCACTCTTCCACTGTCATGAGTAACTTTCATACGGGTGTTACATATTTGGGGGTCTATGCCCTCCTCCTCTGTCCTGGCAATCTTCGTGTCGACAGTTCTCCACCGTTCCATATGCATTCTCAATTGTGGATGCATATGGCACAACATGGCCACCAGTTTGACTTGTGAATGTTCGTGTTATGTCTGAGGATGCCACTAAGGGAGGCCGGCTATTGAAAGAGGCGTGGTATTCCAACAAAAATGCGGTTAATCGTCACATTGACTTACATCCAGTGCAACAAGCATTGAGGAAATGGGATTTTAAACACCATGCCAATCATGATAAGCGGCCTGAACAATGCTTGTACAGCTGTAAATGTGACGGGATACCTGGCCTCCATCCTGAACAGATAGATGGAACTTTGGCCAACCCTCTACACTCCAGGGGCACCCCCGTTTCGCCCAATCAACACCAAAACCACTCTAATGAACGTCTGAGGAGGCTACCACTGTCAAACACACATAATCATCCACCGATGGAAGACCTCCCCCTTCCCCAATATCATCATGATAGACCCCCACCCCCAGAACTTAACAACAACTGTGGAGAGTGTAGAAGATCCAGCTTGTGGAGCCTGCAGCCTGACGCTGTGGGTAGGGGGGAGAAGAAGAACGAAACCATGGCTCGATTGCCTAGGCATACGGTGAAAGGGAGAGACACGGAATTCTGCCTGGATTCTCTGCAGACAAGGAATACCCCCCCCCAACAATACAGCCCCCTCCTGGGACGAACACTTTGAAGTCCCCCCAAAGACGAGCACAGAAGAGGGGAGTGAGAACGCGGGGAATCAGAATGCAGAGATCTGGAGACCTGGTGTCCGCCTGAATACCGTTCCTATCAGCAATGGGGAAGAGCATGCAATAGGGAGGAGGGATGAATTGAGAGACGGGTAAGCACCCGATCACGCAGCAAACAAATGGAACGGTGGAGAACTGTCGACACGAAGATTGCCAGGACAGAGGAGGAGGGCATAGACCCCCAAATATGTAACACCCGTATGAAAGTTACTCATGACAGTGGAAGAGTGAGAAGAAAGGGTGTGGAGCAGGGATTGGGAAAAGCGTGTGTGTGGGGGAGCGTCTGTGAGCCCAGGGAAGCTTGTAACACTGATAGAGGAGAAACAGATGCCCCCAGGGTGGAGAATGAAAACAAAAAGGGGAGGAGGGTCAGTGCCATGGAAGGAAATAAGGATAAAGGGGTGGTGGAGGAGATGAATACCAGTAATGAGATAGTGGAAGGAATGATCCAGAAAAACCATAGAAGGGAGCATAAGGAGAGTAATAAAGAAACATCTGGAACACTAATTAACCGGCCGGGACCGGTGACGCAGTCCATGAGCCGGCTGCAGATGCCGGCAAAACCCATTTAAGTCATCATTGTTTACTGGCTCCTTAGCCCTGATGATGTTTGGAGTTTCCAAACGAAAGCTTGGCAGCTTTTAGTGAAGTATATTTTTATATTTATACTCTCCTGGTGTTCGTATTTTATTTGTACCATATATATATATATATGTATATGTATATATATATCCTTAATATCATTAAAAATCAATAAAAATATAAGAAAAATGAACACCAGGATAAAAATAAACAGGACCGTTTAATATAAACAAGCCTGTGAGTAAAAAAGGTTATTTACTGAGCACGGCTCCTGGCCCTAGTCATCGGTCCATCCAGTAATCCTAATTGTTTAATGAGGACATGGCGGATGGTTATGGAGGCATGAGAAGGATGATTGAAAAGAAGGGGGAGGAAAGAACAGCAAGCCCAAGACTCAATAGGGTGGAAGTAAACAACTGGACACATATGAAGGAAGCGAATGGCCAAAAAAATGGGGGAAGGAAAACAGTAACTTTGGGAGCCAGTGGTGGGATAATGGACAATGGTGTATGTACAAAGGGGGAGGTTGGAGGAAGGGAAGTGAACAATGGAATAGCAACCTTAAAAAACATCAAGAAAACAGCCAATGTGCACCTCCTAGGAATTAAACAATTAGGATTACTGGATGGACCGATGACTAGGTCCAGGAGCCATGGGCAAAACCAGCCAGTATTATAAAAAGAGACTCCCATTGACCTATATTTAATCTCTGATGATGTCGGTAGTGCTGACCGATGAAAGCTCAGCATGTTATTAAACGTTTTTAGTTTAATTTTATCCTGGTGTTTGCATTTATTTGTTTTTACTGTGTGTGTGTATAATGGATTCTAAGGCAACTTGGTCTTTTGCAATTCTTCTAAATCAAAACATTTCTTAACATTCCTGTGACCTAAATAAAATTCCTTCCATTCAGAGCAATGGAAGGGAAACACTGTGAGGGGGATGATACTTAAAAAAAATAAGGCATGAGACAGGGAAGTACAAACATCGCCCAACATTTCATCTCTTCTGGTCTGTTGCTGAATCCTGGCAGATTCCAAGAGGAAGATCAGGAGATCCCTTTGTCCTAGGCATGAAATGAATGAAAATTCTAATTTAACCTTAGTGGGTTGCTAACCTTAGTGGGCTACTGATTTTATTGTCCTCAGTGCAACAAATTCAATTAGTGTGCACCCTAAAAGTTTCAGGAAAAAACAAGTAATTCTTAGGTTGGATCTAATAGTCTCTTGAAGTCAATAGAATTCCCTTTAGTAATGGATAATCTATCTTGTCCAATTCATTTCAGAGGGTCTTCTTGTTCAATCTACTTTTCCATTCATTCTAAGCTTGGAAATATTTCAAAGGATACCTTATTTTACATGTAATGAATGATTATCAGTGTTTATTTATTCAGTTAATTTTATTTTTTGTTCTGGTCCTATAACTCCTGACAGGTATTTATAAATAGGTATATAAACACACAAATGCAAGTCTAAGAGGGAGGAGAATATTTTAATATCAATGCAAATGAAATAAATAAAGTAAAAGGTATGGGCACTCATTTAGAACCATTCATTCTGAGGCAAGTAAATTTGTTGCACAGAGGCCAATGAAATCAGTGAAACTAGCCCACTGGGTTTAAAGTAGAGCTTCCACTCATTTCAGACTCAGTACAGAGGAATCTCCTCATCTTCAAATCTTCCAGGATTCAACAACAAGCCAGAAGTAATGAAATGTTGACAGATGGTTTTTTTTTCCTTTGCTGCCTATTACTTATTTTAAGAATTGTACTTCTTTTCCATTGTTCTGAATGGAAAGAATTTTATTTAGAGCACAGAATCTTATTGTATCATGGGGCTTCCCTTTGAAATTACAATTAATACAAATAGTAGTATTAAAATACCAATTTATATCGAGATTTACATTCAAATAGCAGATATTTCTGTGATGGAGCTTCTAAGATGAGGATATGGGGATTTCTTGGTATTGCTGGACTACAGCTCCCCATATCCTTCTATTGGGTTGTGTTGTCTGAGGATAATGGGAGGTTGTTTATTCACTGCATTTGTATTCCACCTTTTCTCAAGTATATTCCCTGTAAGGTGAAATAAAGTTTGGTAATATCTAATTTCCCACTCCTGCTTTAAGATCTTGTGCTTCAGGATCATTCTGACTGCCAGAGTTGATAATCCTAAAGTATCAAGAATGCTTAACAAACATTCTTAAAAATTATTACATGTTATTGTAAAAAGTAATTTCTTTTTTTAAAAAAGGAGAACATTTTCCAATCACTGAATACAATTTTTGAGTCACTTGAGTGAATTTAAGGAATTGGTTTAACAAATTAAGATGCTGACATTTCAGAGGCTTCTTGCCCATGTATGGAATCAATTTAATAGCGTAACATTATCAGAGGCTGCATCTTACTGCAGATCAAGATCTATCCGTTTAAAAAAGAATTATATAAAATGTAGAGCTGCAAATTTATTTCTTCATTGTTCATATTGCATTTTACAGAGCTAACTAAAGGAACAACAGAAATGTACAGCATTCTTTGAACCAGAAAATGAATGTCAGAAATCATTTATCATTCTCCCAAAATATGACCACATGAAACTGTATTGTCTATAGCTATCAACAATGGATCTGAACATAAAAGTCTACTTTGTAAGAACCAAATTTTACCAAGTGGGAAAAAATTAAACATTTCAAAAAAGGCAGATAAAATATTATAATGCAACATAAACACGTTTTTTTAAAAATACATTTAGAGTGAGGAATGTACATTTTTTCTCTATATATTTTATCTGTAAACATTTGATTAATCTGAATTATCAGTCAGCAGGCCATCTGAACACAATAAAATAGATAATTGTAATTAATATTTGTTAACATATAGATGTGCTGAGTTTTAAAAAAAATAAAAATTAAAAATGTGTTTTTTTCAGCAAACAGTTTGTAATATATTTTGTAAAGAGACAGAAGTATACAATAAACTCTCTAATTCACAGTCCAATCCAAGATCCAGAAGCAGTCTGGTCGTCCTCTCATTGCTCTGCAGGTAGCCTAATATACTTTGATGCTCAGAATCAGAGGGAGGTTCAATCACCCAAATGGATTTCTGCTACTCTAATGTGTAACTTGGGTAAATCACAAACAGGTACAAGGTTTTGTTTTTCTTTTCTTCTTTGTTTTCTTTTCCTTTTTCTTTTTGACTGTATGAAATTGTATAATTATTTATAAACAATTAAAATTAAGCTAGATCTTAGAAAAGGACTCACTGGAGAAGGGCCTAATGCTGGGAAAGATTGAGGGCAATAGAAGAAGAGGATGACAGAGAATGAGATGGCTGGATGGAGTCACTGAAGCAGTAGGTGTGAACTTAAATGGACTCCAGAAGATGGTAGAGGACAGGAAGACCTGGAGGAACATTGTCCATGGGGTTGTGATGGGTCAGACACGACTTCACAATTAACAACAACAAGAAGATCTTAGAAATTGGCGCAGGTGTTGTGATTCCTCACCAGCCAGTGGACCCAGCAGCTGAGTCTGAGAAATCAGAGGAAGAGGAGGGGCTGGAGTGACATCAGAGTCAGAGGAAGGCTGAAACACAGCTGTGCTGGGGGTCAGAGTTGGACAGTAATGACTCACAGCTGGGAGATATCCAGGATGCACTAAAACACCAGCAAGAAAAGAGAGTAGGACAGAGGAATGCAATGGGGCGGTCCCAAAGGCAAAGAAAAAGGCATTAGGAAGCCACACCTTGGCTGCATAATAAAAGGAAAGGCGTGGGAGGTGCTAATTGCTGGAGGCAATCCTTCCTGTTGAGGATCAAGTTTCTGTGAATTGTGTTTGTTTGCCTTGGACATTGACTCAAGTCTGTGAATAATAAAAGGGGATTGGTTTTTTCCTGCAGTTCCAGCCTGCTTGTTGGAACAGGTAATGTGGATTAATGAACAATCACTAGAATAATGATGTGTTTGCATAATTACTGGAATAATGCTGCGTTAGTAGTATGTAACTAACCTAATGCGCATTGCACTTAGATACAATGTATGTAGCAAACTCTCTCCATTGTATACCCGTGAGAAACGAACCTAATGTATTACAATATGTATCACAATGTGTATTCCTTTGTTCCTGAGAAAGGGAAAGGATAAAACTGAAGTCTGAACCCACCCTCGGGGTTCAGAATTGCCGGTTGCTACTGCTTCTGAACCTGTGCAATAAATCTCTATGCTAAAACCCTCTGGAATTTGTAAGAGTCCTTCCGTTTTTCACAAGAATTCTGGCGACTCCGCCGGGACTCTTAGGAAGAGGCCATTGACCTTCCAGATGGACTGCCCTGGTGGGTAGCTACTCTCCTAACGATGACTCCTCCAAGCCAGCTCCGTGGCCTTTGTCTACAGGGAGACCTTGACAGGATGGGAGGGGAACTCACCCACCAGCGAAGCACTCCAGTCAAGGATCCACCGAGGGTAGCAGACGGGTCTTTAATCCATGGAAGGGTCTGGAACGCCTGCAGGCAAGAATTATAAAAGGGGATACCTGATCCCATTTGGATTGGAAGAGGGGATTGATCACCCCCTAGAAGACAAGAAGGTGTCCTTAAGTCTTCAATAGGTAGGACTGTGTGGGTGGTTAAACCATTGCATTTCCTGAAGAGAGACCGTTGGAACGTCCGGTACTCCAGGTCGGTGGTAGTGTGTTTGGGAGATATGGGAGGAAACCAAACTAAGAAGGGTCAGACGCCACTTTAGTGTATTGTAGGAAATTTCAAAAAGAGTTTTTCTAGGGATTATGGGGACCCACGACCAAATCCAGCCATGTTAAAAAGATTCTGTGAATCTGAGTGGGCCACCTTTTGCATAGGGTGGCCCAAAGAAGGATCAGCGAATCCCGAACTCGTGGCATGGGTTCATCAAATTGTGACTGGAAGTGGTCATTGGGACCAATATCCCTATATAGACCAATGGCAGATCAATACTGAAGAAAAGCCTCGATGGTTAGCAAAGTGTCAGATAGAATGTGCTAAAATATATTTGGTAAACGAAAAAGCCAAACCTCAGACAAAAGCTAAAATTTTGAGCCAGGAAGAAAGGGAGGAAGTTGCCAGGCCCCCGCCCTATGTTCCTAGAAGAGAAGAAGGGGGGATATATCAGCAAATTTCACCCCCTTCGGTTGAAAGAAATGAATTCCACCTTCAACCAGAAGCCGGTGTGAAAAGAAATTTAAAAAAAGATAGAACCGTTCAGAAGAAAGATCAGGACTTGGATAGCAATGACAGCAAAACATCAGTTTCTAGTCGAACTAGAAGTAAAATGAGGGTAAAAACAGAAGAAATGATAGCCCCTCTAAGAAAAGTTTTGGTCCCTGGACCAAACAACACCAATATTCTGATGCTCCAGTATGTTCCCTTTACAACCACTGATCTACTCAATTGGCGTCGGCAATATGGACCATTTTCAGAAAAACCTCAAAAAGTAATAGACCTATTCTCATCATTATTCAGATGCATAACCCACGTTGGATGATATGTAACAATGTATTTCTACTTTACTGGATATGGAGGGGAGAGAGAAATATAGGTTAGGAAAATTAAAAGTTCTTGCCCACTGACACCCCGCTGGGGGAGCGAATTATCAGGCAAGCAGAGATACCGAAGCAGTAGAAGAAAGACCAGACTGGAATGCTAACGATGGACAACACCAAACTTTGTTGCAGAATTATCGGCTTTTGTGTTTAGAAGCCGCAATTTGTCCAGTTAATTATGCTGCAGTAACTAGTATTTGGCAAGATAAAAATGAGTCACCAACTGCTTTTCTCAGCTGACTGATAGAAGCTTATAAAGTAAACACAGGTTTTGATATGGAGGTGGCACACAATCACCCACTCTTAATTGAAAGATTTATCACCCAAAGTGCCCAAGACATAAAGAAAAAGTTACAATGCACAGAAGAGGCATTAGGGAAGAATATAGCAGAGATTATGGAAATAGCTCAGAAGGTGTTCCGTAACCATGAAAAGGAAGAATGTAAGTCAGATCAGAAAGAGAAAAAGAAGGTTGAAATGTTAGCAGTGGCCTTGGGGGGAATGTGTATTGGATCCAACCAATGTGCCATCTGTAAACAGGAAGGACACTGGCAAAGGGAGTGCCCCCAGAGGAATGGCCAACCTCGCCAGTATGGAAGAGGTTGACAATTTCGCCAGTATGGAAGAGGACAAGGAAGAGGATTTAGAGGGACTTCCCAAAGAGGTTGTAAGGGAAGCTTCAGGGGAAGAGGGCGTCCAGCCTATCCCAGTCAGATGGAAGAAAGAGAAGAAAACATGATCAGCTTATCCGACATGGAATGGGGAGACTGAAGAGGACAGGGTTCTATGACCCCACCCCCAGAGCCCATTGTTAAAATAAGGGTGGGGGGACAGATTGTCCCAATGTTAGTTGACATGGGAGCCACCAGATCGGTCCTAAATAAATATATTGGCAATCCATCAAACCAGACCATCCAAATTCAGGGAGTATCTGGAGAAATTCAATTTCGACCACTCCTGGAACCCCTAACATGCCAAGTGGGAAAAGGAATCATTAAATATCAATTTTTATATGTCCCAGACTGTCCAGTCCCATTATTGGGAAGAGACTTGCTAAATAAGTTAAAAGCAACCATTTCCTTTGACAATGGGAAACAATTAATTCAAGTGCGCCACCCAGTGGAAGAAATATGGTGCTTGATGATAGTGACAGAAGAAGAAGTAGGAGGTACTAAGTGGCTACAATTTAATGTCCCACTCCTGTGGACAGAGGATAACCCTCCTGGATTTGTGAAATATGCCATGCCCATTATGGTGGAACTAAAACCACAAGCATATCCTGTTAGAGTGCCTCAATGATATTGTACTTCAGAGGCTTCTATTGCCATTCAAGAATTAATCCAAAAATACTTGATAGCAAAAATCATTAGAAAAATTCAGTCACCCTGGAATACTGCAATTCTACCTGTTCATAAGCCCGACAGAGAGTGGAGACCAGTGCAGGATCTCCGCCTCATTAATAAATTGACCTTAACGCTACACATGATTGTTCCTAATCCATATATTCTTTTGAGTACAATACCTCCATCTGCTAAATGGTTTTCAGTTGTGGACTTAAAGGATGCGTTTTTCACCATACTTTTAGCTGAGAATTGTCAACCGATCTTTGCATTTGAATGGGCTAATTCAAAGACCAAGTTAAGACTCAATATACCTGGACTAGACTACCACAAGGCTTTAAGAATTCACCTACGTGTTTTGGTCAAGCTTTAGCCCAAGATCTTGCATATTTGAAGTTAGTCAGACAAGAGGACTGTTGCCTTCAATATGTTCTGATAACTGGACAAAACAGGGAGGATTGCTTTGAAAACATATCCAGACTGCTCCGAATGTTACAAGACTGTGGCTACAGAGTGTCCAAAAGGAAAGCACAATTAGTTCAAATGACTGTAATGTATTTAGGCTATGAGCTATCACAAGGACAAAGAACTCTGGGCCCCCAGAGAAAGTAAGCTGTGTTACAGATTCCCATCCCCCAAACAAAACAGGAAGTTAGAGCCTTTTTGGGAATTACAGGCTTCTGTAGAATTTGGATTTCTAACTTCGCTCTCACAGCTAAACCATTGTACTAAGTTTTAAGAGGACCAGAAAAGGAACCTCTTTTGTGGCAACAAGAGCAGACCCAAGCAATGAAACACCTTCAAGAAGCCTTTACTACAGCACCGGCTCTAGGGCTACCGGATATATCTAGGTCGTTTTCACTTTATGTTGATGTGAGACAGAATGTGGCTTTAGGAGTCCTTACCCAAAAGCAGGGAAATTGGAATTGCCCAATCGCTTATCTGTCAAAACAATTGAATATGATGGCGCAAGGGTGGCCACAATGTTTAAAAATTCTAGCAGCAGTTATGCTGTTAGTACAGGAGACAAATAAGTTAACCTTTTCTGCTCCAGTGGCTGTTTGTACTAGTCATTCCCTGTAGACAATTATTGACAATAAGAGACATTTATTGATTAGCAATCAATGGATGCATAAGATACAGGCCCTTTTAGTAGAAAATCCAAAAGTTACACTGCAACAGTGCTCTACTCTCAATCCGGCCACTCTTATACCAATACCAGATTCAACTATCCCCGTGTATAACTGCGTGCAAACAATAGAACTACAATATTCTTGCAGACCTGACCTTACGGACCAACCATTGCATAATCCAGACTTTTTTTACCGATGGATCCAGCTTTATGGATCATTGTACTTTCCACCACCAATCGGCTGGTAGGGTGGAACATGCTCATCGCATGATTAAAACCCTTACTACCAAATTTTGTTTGGAAACTCATCTCCATTGGCCAGACATTGTGCCTATGGTTTTGTATGCAATCAGACTGGCCCCTCACACTAAATTACAACTTAGCCCTTATGAGCTCATGTTTGGCCGTGCCCCTTGTCTATTTAAACCTGACAGTCAGGGCTGGCCAGACTTGGCTCATAAGGGGGGAATAGACCAACAGAAATTGTTACTTCAGTTACAGCTTCATAATTTAGCTGTTTCAAATTTGTGCCGTTATATGATGGAACAACAACCCCCTCCAGTGGTCACGGCAACACATGGGTTCATACCAGGAGATAGGGTATGGGTAAAACACTGGAAATCAGATCCCTTGAGCCCAAGATGGTATGGACCATATACTGCTGTCATGTTCTCTTTTGGCAGTGAAAACCTTGGAGGGAAAGTCCTGGGTCCACTGGAGTAGATTGAAAGCAGCTGTACCTGCTGATCCAGTAGCTTACAAGGTGGATAAAACTGACAAACCTTTAGTGTTAAAATTTACAAAAAATACACCCTGTCGAACCCTACTGGCAACGGGTTCTCAACACACGGTGTGAACATCAGATCTTGCTGAAACACTCCGGAAGCTGTCTCTCTATGCATAGTGGAAGACATGAGGATTCTACAGCTCATAATATCAGTTAGTTATTTAATATGGGGAATATACACACACATTCCTACACAAATTAGTGCAATGGCTACATGAGAGGTCATACCGCAGAAAGCCTCTAATAGAAAACTATTGAGTAGTACACACAAAGAAAGAAAAAAAAAAACACAGGGAAACCAGGATTGTCAAAACTGCATCAAGATTACAAAACAAGGAAGCCAGATAACTAAGACTTTGGTTTATCATACAATGAAACCAGAAGGGTGCCAAGATAGCTCCCCTAGCTCCTGTACATACAATAGAACTACATATAACGTTTGTAGAAAAGGGGTCCAAGATCAGTGTTATAACCTGAAGTCTAATCCTGATACTTGGGCCTTACAAATCTGAACACATACAACAGATAGGAGCTCTAGGGACCAGGCACTATTAGGGATCTCTCAATGAAAATCCAATCCACACTCCAGTTTTAGCGTCATCTTTGATGTTTGTAAGGCAGCTAATTATTGGGCTGCAATAGATGGTTGCAGAAGGATCAGTCAAATACACAGCTATATCTCAAACCATAAGTATTTGTGTCCACCAGATGGGTGTGCAGTCTCCACGGTCAGATGTAAGTGGTGGTCATGTATTAAGTGGCATACCCAAGATCCAAAGGAGATAGAGCACATCTTGTTTGAAAAGAATAATATAAAAGCAGACTTCTGTGGAAGGGATAACTGTAATTTGGTGACTCTCACAGTCAAGAATGGCAGTTGGTTCCTGGAACAAAATAAATGGGAAAGACGAAATTGGATGTTTGGGATAGGAATAGATGCCAACGGCTACGACCCAATATCAGAGGTAGAAATCAAAATTATAGCTGCAACCAAAATATCAGAACAAAAATCATTATTTTGGTCATATTATGAGGAAATGGAGAAACTAAATATTCCTGAAATACCTAGACATATAGTCAATACCTTTGTTAAGTTAGCTGAAGATATTGCCCATACTTTAGACGTGTCCAACTGTTTTGTGTGTGGTGGAACAAATATGAGAGAAAAATGGCCATGGGAGGCACAAAAGTTAAATTATACCAAGGTACTAGAAATGTCTGAGCATAGTAGCTTAACTTATACAAGCGGGAAAGATGGTGACTGGACTCTCACTTCCAACCTGGTAGGACATGTATGTTACTCAAGGAACAAAACAGAATCTTGCATAGCAGTAGGTAACCTCCTATGCACAGGGATTTGGGAAAATGGTAAATGGTCTGGAACCAACGAAACCACTACTATGGATCATTATGCAGAAGACTATGGCAGGAGGGTGGAAACTTATTGTAAAGTTTTCTTTCTTGCCTCATTTGTATTGTAATAAGCTAGTTAAATGGATTCATGGAGGAATGGCATTTGGAATGGTTGGCATAGCAAGTCCTGAACACCTTGGACCTCTATCTGATGGGAGGAAAATTTGTCTAGGACATTGTATTGCATGTCTTGTATAAGTAGCTGCATGCACACACCACCCACCCACACCCACACACCATTCAGAATCACACTGAGGCTATCCCTTTCACCTACCTTCAGTAAAGCTCCCCAGGCTGGTTCTTGCTGTATGTCATTAAGGCCTTTGCATGCATACCTTCCTGAAAATTCCAAGAGGGAGGGAACCATGGCTCCCTCAGGTGATTTACAATCCATATGCCCTCACTGAGGAAGTAGCAGAAAAGAGATTTCCAAACCCAAGCCCTGAATATGTTGCAGTAGTGGACTCAGAGTGGGAGTCCTAGGGCTTACTGTGTGCAATTTAAGAAATATTAATAGCACACTGACTAACCTCAGTTGGACATCACAAACCCTGGATGCACTAAACTAAGAGCTAAGGGAAGAAACAACCCTTGAAAATGGGCAACCAATGGTTATGTATTGAAGCAAACCAAGGCTGTGAAGAATTTTGGGAGGCATGTGCAAACCTGACTGGAACTCAAAGTGACATCAAACATCTAAAAGAATTGGCACAGAATATTAGCCATTATAAATTTCTGTTCGACCTAACATACTTTTTGCCCTGGCTTTAGACCTTCATGGTTGAAAGACTCCCCTTTTGGGAGCCACTGCAGGGATCTTTTTCCCACACTTACATGGCACAAAGGGGTAAAGATAGCAGCCCCTCCAAAGAAAGAAATATTTTGGGGAATATTTAAAAGGCAGAATATTATATTTCCCCAAAGGAAAAAATCTCAGGCAGAAACCTCCCAATCCATGTCTTTCTGCCCCAAGCAGAAACCAGCTCTGTAGAAATGCAGATTTGATCATCTTGGACTGGACCCTGAAGATTTTTCTTTCAACACAAGTATCTTACTCACAGAAAATTTTATGAATCCTATTAAATAGTAATATGTGAGCATTGGTTTCCTGAGATGGCTCCCTTTATTAGCCTTTGCCTTTGCTATCCCCATTTTACAGGAACGGGAATTTACCATCCTGCTTCTTTCCTGTAATTTGGTAATACCTTTTCAGGTGGTATCAGGGGAATAGTCTCTCCTACAACTATAGTTTTGAGTGTTTTCCTGTCACATTTCTTCTTCTGCAGTTTATACATTTCTGAAGTTGGAATGCAACCTATTTTTTTAAACTAGGCGTTCCTGTATTCAGGAGCTCCAAAAAGCTTTGGGCTTGAACTTTGGTTCTCTTTCTTGCTATCCTGGTCTTCTTACATGTACCCATCTGCATGGTGGGTTCTGTGCTAAAAGAGGACCTCAGAAGTCAGGTGGAGCTTTGCTTAACAATAGCAGTCTCATGCCTTCCTATGGGAGTTCAATATTTGGTCATCAGTATCTATTTACATATATATAATATACCCATTTGCAGCTTCCTTCTTCCTTTCTTCTTCCCCTTCTATTTATTTCTCTTCTCAGCTAAAAATCCATACATTTCCATATCACATTTCTGTATTCCAATCATGGGAGCCAAGCTTTTGCATTTACAGGTAGTCTTTATGACCATTCATTCAGCAACCATTCAAAGCTGCAATGGCACTGAGTAAATTGAATCTCCAGTGGTCCTCAAAGTTCTAGTTGTCACGGTGTCCCAGGACTGTGATTTCCTATATTCCCTGCAAGCTTCCCACAAGTAAAATCAGGAACCTGGCAGGAAGTTGGAACACACATCCTAAGAGGTTCATGAGTTGCACTAGGGCTAGGCAAACAGCTGGCACTAGTATGTGCATTTCAATGTATATTCCCCTTGGTGTGCCTGTTTACGCTCTTGTAATCCCTTTCCCTCAAATCAATGCAACTATAAACATTCTCTTCTTGCTAATTATTCCAGCATCAGAGTAAACATTCCAAAGGGTTGGGAACAGAATAAAAGGCTACAAGATCTTCCCCTTTATCTGGCTTCCTTGTGAGTCCCTTCATTTGGGCTTACTAGGTATATGGGGTCATATTCATCTGATGCTATACAGCAGACATGTCAAACTTGCAACATCATGTGATGTCACACAATGTATAAGGCTGTTTTGCCATTGCTGGCAATGGGGTGGGTGTGGCTTCCACGTGACACGTCCAGCCCGCAGGCCGGCAGTTTGACATTCTTGCTTTAAAGCAAAGGGAACTGAAATAAAATCAAACATAGTCACATGATTTTTCACTTAGCAACTATTTTTTGTAACAACTGAATTGCTGGTTCCAATTGTGGCTGCTAAACAAGGATTATTCCATCAGCTGCATCAGCTGGCTGACCTAAACTGGCAAATTAATTAATGCAGATATGTCAAACTCGCAACATCATGTGACATTGCATGACGTATTGGAGCTTTTTCTCCATTGCCAGCAATGGGGTGGGCGCAGTTTCCTGGTGACATGTCTGGCCCACAAACTGGCACTTTGACACCCCTGAATTAATGCTTAGAAAAGGCCAGTGAGATAATATCTTATACTTCTGTATAAGTTTCCACCAAACAGCTCTATCACATTCAAAAAGGACACATCAAATTCCTTATGAAGTCCCCTTCACTTTGTTCATTAAAGGAAGCATAGCCTTGTTAGTCTATGGTAAACCAAAAATGAGGAAATTGTTAGTTCAAACACTTGCTACAACACTCACTTTGAATGGGTTCATTCTTAGAACAATGAATCAATCATGGCAAATTCTAGCCCATTCTGTGTTAAATAACAGCTTTTTTAGGAATGTAGTTTGGAAAGCCCGTGCCAATTTCTAAACTTTATTTTAATCTTTAATTACTTATAAATATATAATTTTGTACTATAAAAACAAATAAACAAAAACAAAGCAAAACAAAAACAATTATAGAAATCCATCTGGCCGAACCTCCATCAGATTCTGAACATCAAAGTAGATTAGGCTATTTCCAGAGCCACTCTTTCTGGATCTTGGATTAGATTGTGAACTGGAGTATTAAATGTATCTTTACAAAATAAACTAAAATTGTGTGACAGTAAAAATCATTTATGGATTTTTTTATTTTTTAAAGAGCTTAACACCTCTATATGTAAAAACATCTATTTCAATGATCTATTGTCATTGCTTTAAAAATGGCTGCTGATTGATAATTCAGATTAATCAAATGTTTACAGCTAAAATATATATAGAAAATAATCTACATTCTTCACTCCAGATGCATTTAAAAAATGTATTTATAATGTTACATTATGAGGGTAGAGGTTCGTTCTCCGAGCTTGTGTGTTGGTATCTGAATATTTCATTACCAGGCTAGGTAACATCTTCAGCGGAGTTTAGGGGATGTTATATATAATGTTACATTATAGTATTTTATCTGCTTAAAGAAGGTCTAGAAATTTATCCTTTTCCCAGTAATTACAGTTGGTAAAATCTGTCTTTTACGGAACAGGCTTTGAGGTTTGGATCCACTGTTTATAACTGTATACAATCCAGCTTCATGTGAACATATTAAAGAGAATGATATATGATTTCAGACACTCATCTTCTACTTCAACGATGCTCTATATGTTCTCTTGTTCATTTACTTGGTTCTGTAAAATAAAATGTGAACAGTAAAGAAATAAATTTGCATTTGTACATTTTATGTAATTCTTTTTTAAACTGATTCATCTGATCTTCAGCAGAATGCAGCCTGAAATAATTTTAAGATATCAAACTACATGGACAATAAAATTCTGAAATGTCAGCATTGCTATTTTTTACATCAAATGAATAAAACTATTCAAGTGATTCAAAAACTGTAGACCATTTTATCACTGAGCAATTTCTTTTTTTTAGATGACTTTTGACACAATCAAATGTAATAACCTTTAATAATTTATTAGGCATTCTTGATCTTTTGGGAAATAAATGGTACTCAGAATGAATCTGAATGAATCTCACTCCGAATAGGATTTGGGAATTAGATGTTACCAAACTTTAAATCATCCTCACAGGGGATACATTTGAGGAAAGATGGAACACAAATGCAGCGAATAAACAAATTCCCATTATCCTCAGACAACACGGCCAATAGAAGAATACTGGGAACTGTAGTCCAGCAAGGCCAAGAAAGTCCTCATTTTTTATCAACTAAGATGTTCTAATAAAATGTCCGCTATAGAAATATTTGATATTTACATGTAAATCTCAACAGAGATTTGTATTTCACTAATACCATTATTCAAATGCAAATCCTATCATATAATAAGATTTCTGTTATCCAACCTAAATTCCTTCCATTCAGAGCAATGGGAAAGAAGAACTATGTGGACTGGGATCAATAGAATTTCATTTAGTGATGGATAATCAATCAATATTGTCCAATTCGTTTCAGAGGATCTTCTTGTTCAATCTATTTTTCCATCTATTCTAAGCTTAGAAATATTTCATGGGATGCCTTACTTTACATGTAGTAAATAATGTATGGTTACACAGACCTGGTGGTACAGTGGTTTGAACGCAGTATTGCAGGCTAATTCTGCATTCCCTTTGCCAGGAGTTTGATACTAACCAGCTCAAGGTTGACTCAGCCTTCCATCCTTCCAAGGTTGGTAAAATGAGGACCAGATATTTGGGGGCAATATGCTGAGTCTGTAAATGGCTTAGAGAGGGCAGTAAAACGCTATGAAGTGGTCTAAAAGTCTAAGTGCTATTGCTATATTAGTATTAGTGGTTACTAATTCAATTAATTTTATTTTTTGCTCTGGTCCTGTGGCTTCTGACAGGTATTTATAAATATGCATGTAGACACATGAGTAAGTGAGTAAGAATATGCAAGTTTAAAGAGAAGGAGAATATTTCAATATTTCAATATCAATGCAATAAATAAAGTAGAATGTATAGGTGTTTATTTGGAACCATTCATTTTGAGGCCACTAAATTTGTTGCACTCAGGCCAATGAGTGCAAATAGCTCACTGGGTTTAAAGCAGAGTTTCCACTCATTTCACCCCCAGCACAGAGAAATCTCCTGGTATTCATCCTGGAATCTGTCTGGATTCAGCAAAAGACTAGAAGAGATGAAATGCTGGCAGATTCAGCATTCCGTGCCCCATTCCTCATTATTTTTAAGTATTACCCCCCCCCCCCGTTCCCATAGTGCTTCTCTCCCATTGCTCTGAACGGAGGGAATTTTATTTAGATCATAGGAATCTTAAGAAGTGTTCTGATTTAGAAGAATTGCAGAAGACCAAGTTACCTCAGAATCTATTACATCTACAACTTTAGCTGCCAGACTTTTAACTATTTTAAGTGATTTTTTTAATGCATAAATAAATATATAGAAAAGGGAAAGAAATGTTAATATTGGTAGATGAAAATATTTTTCTAAAAGTATACATACAGGAATGCAATGCGGATAGTCAAATTCCCCATTCACACAATTAACTCTTAATGCGCCAGAATTTGGATGTAGTTTATGGCGTCTTATACATTCAAATTCAACGATATTTCCATCTGCGGAATATATTTTATCTCCATTGATCCACTTCAGCCTTATATTGTGTTGTCTCATATCTTCTTCACTTGCTGTACAAGCAGCTGCAGAAGGACACAGATCAAATGACATATAGAAAGTTTGAAGTATTCATTTGATAAAACAATTAAAGTTTAGGTTAGAAATTTTATGTTTCAGTTGGATAAAATGATTAGAGAGCTATGTAAAAGGATTTTTCTCTTTCTTTGTCCCTCCCTTTTCCTTTTGTCTTTCAACTATTATCCGTCATGAACTAAACTACCTAACATACATAAACCTCTTTTAAGCAAGACAATGTTACATGTGTAAAAGGAAGAAGAAAAATGTTTTAGTCTCCTTCTTCTTGCAAATTTCCTCATACTGAAGATCTCAATTAGTAGAAGACCACTTTCAGGCAACTTCTCTTAAAATGTCACCTTATATCTTCTTTTTCAACACTGACTAATCAGGGTAGACGTGATTAAGTCAAAAGAGAACTGTCTGCCTCCATATATAAAATGCCTATTTAAAAAACAGTAATTTTAGTTCCCTAGAGATTCAAGTTTTGCTATCATTCAAAAAACAAAACAAAACAAAAATCCCATGGGATTGTTGGGAAACATGGCTTTTTGTAAGTTTTGTTCAAGGAATGATTGATTGATTGATTTATGACGATGATGATGATTAGAGTGCACTGTGTTCTCAGCTGTGAAATACTAAGAAAAAGAAAATCTACATACTGAACTCAAGTAAACTAAAAACTGAATTTTTACAAGTTCTTTTCAATCATGCCATTGAATAAAAAGGTATCTGTAATGAAATGTAGCTTAGGGAAAGCAGAATTTCAGCGGCAAGTTTACACAAAATGAGGACAACATTTGTAAATGGTGGAAGATTTTGTACAATTGTCCATTATTAGGCAGTTTCTCCCTGAGAGATTTACTTTATCTTGCTTCAGAATACTACAGCTTCTAATTCCATTACAAGGCAGTAAAATACCTTCTGACATGAACATACTGACATAACAGCTCTGATGTCATGAAATTTATTCCATTCCCAAAGTACAATATTTATCTATAAAGAATAAATCCATAAAGAATTATAGATATTAGTTATACCTCTACATGTTGGTGTTTGTGACCAATGACCATTATGACAAGTCACTCTGGGAGAACCTTCCATTGTATAGAGATTTTGGCACTGATAAGTTACACTTTCAGACTGGAAATAGTTTGCCTTGGGTGAGTCCACAATGTCTCCATTCTCCACAGGAGGTGGGCGTCCACATTTCCCTCCAATATCTATAATACATACAGAATCTATTGAGCATAATTACAAATATTATAGTTTATAATATAATATGCTCATGATTACATATATTACAGTGTACGCACACAAAGAATGTTTTAACATACATAAGAAATTACATTGTAAAGTATACAAATTCTTATTTTTAAAAAGCAACAATGTCCTACAGCTTATTTAACTGATAGGCAGAAAACAATTATCAGTGTTGTCCCTAGTATTGTCTTTCAACTTTAAAACATATTGTGTTATTAGTTTCTTAATACTTTAAGTCAGATCTGTGTTAAAATGAATAGCAATTGCTTTGGGATAAACGGCACAAGGCATTCTTAATTTTATTACCCTTTTTCCATTAACAACTGTTCAAATCTTGTACAAATAAATTGTGTAGTTGTACTGGATGTTATGCCATCCATGTTAGTATTGAAGTGATGGGACAGCTTACAAAACAATAAAAGCAAGAACATTAAAAAAATTATAAACATTAAAATTAATAGAGTACATAATCAGTACACTGGTGGAATCTTTTTTCTTAGCCCACCAGTCATTTCCAGTGTAAAATGTCCCATCATGGTTCCAATTGGCCAATTGGCTGAGCCAGTTTTTAAGGCAAATCCAGAAGGCCTAGAGGATGAGGGTGTATTTTGCCTTCAGCAGCAAGATTTTTCTAGATTTTTTTTTGGGGGTCGGGGAGGCATAGCAGAGAAGTCTCTTTTACTAGATCCTGCTAGCCAAAGTTCCTTGACTGAGAAGGTCTGCAACATGTTCCTTTTGCAGGAAGGAGTGGGGTGGGTCAATCCCATTGGGGTGAGACAGTCTCCCATACCATGAAGGGCTTTAAAGATGATGTCTAACCCACTGAATTTGACTCAGAAGCAAACCAGCAACTAGTGCAACTCATATTACAGCAATGTTACATGTACCATTGAACAGGCATTGTGAATCTAAGAGAACCCATAGGTTGTACACAGGATCTGTCTAGGGCAGTGCAATCCCATCCAGAACTGAAGATGTTAAATGCCCAGATCCCAAAGCTCCAAGCAGCCATAGCAACACAGTCTTATCAGGGTTCATTTGAAGCCTGTGGTTCGCCCATTCAGACACCCACAGCATCTAAGGAGGGGACAGCATAATGTTTCTTTAAAGTCCCATGCATGCCCCCTTCTGCAGTGATGCATTGATCACCACCTGGAGGTCACCATCATGGAGATTTTCACCAGCCAGGAGAGACATGGATTTAAAATGCAGGTAGTTGCATTGACAGCATTGAGAACCCTGTCCTAACAAGATCAATCTTTTCCCAGATAACTGGGTAAGCGATCTCTAATGGCCCTGCTCTATGTTTGAGAATGGATACAAGCAACTTTTTCCATCAGGTGTTCCACAAATTCCTCCACATGACCCTGAAGATGATCACCCAAGTCCTCCTTTCTAAGAGGAACCCTATCATCTTAAGTATGGCCATTGGGTGATACTCTACAAATGAGATAAGAGCAGAAAAATAATGTATTGTTTCACCACTCTTACCACCACAAAGCTACCTTAACAACAGACTCTGATCTGTGTCCTTGTTTTCCTCCCGTGCCTCTCTAGACATCTCTTGACCTTTTTCAAATCCTTAACTCCTCCATGAATCATGGAGAAGGCCAGCAGAGAAGGGTTAGAAGAGGCTGCATGGATGTAATCCTATCCAAAGCATCAGCCATATTTTGATTCCAGAGCATAATCAGAGAATTGGCAGGATCATGCAATAGAATTCCCAGGGTATCCTGCCAGATCACATTCCCATTGTTTCAAGAAAATCATATCTGGAATGTGGCTATTGTCATGAGTTGGGCTGTAGATGACCAAAAGAGATTCCTGGATGATACCTCCTTCTCCTCTACCCTGAGGTCTTAACTGGTGCTAAATCCTAAACCCAGCTGCACACATCTCTGAGAGGGAGACTCCCCATTCTGGAGTGTGCCTGGACTTGGTGATAAATGCCAGGTTGGCTGCTCTTTGCCAATAAAGTCACAAATAAGAGAAGCTTTGTTATTAATTGATCTAGCATTTACTAACAGCTGAATACATGGGCTACTGTGGGTCTGCTATCCAAAGACTGGCCATGACGTCAGGAACATGCCACCGGTATTAAATATAAGGAATGTCTTCATCTGTAATTGGCCACCCTCTGGCTTCTGTCTAAGACTACTACATGAAAATGTTCTATTTTCTGAAAAACCTCTTCCCATTTTGATCCTGTTGCCTAGATCTCCTATCTATTTCTCTAATTACACTCTTTTCTGTGAAGACTTTGATTTACTTCTGGAGGAGGCATTTATGAAAAGGGAAGATGTCAAGTGGCTGGAGGGGGCGGGGGGGAGGACAATGGGAAAAAAAGTGTACATCCTCTGCCCCATTTGTACTAATGTCATCATATTGCAGCCATAACAAAAGGATATAATTTACATTTTGATGAAAGCATCAGTTCCTGTGAACAGATTCTGCTAATAAAATTCCAATGAGAAATTGGGCAATACAACTAAAAGGTGTATAGGAAGATGTAAGGCAGACTTCAAAGAATAGAAAGAAAAATCAGATTTTGAAGAGTTCTTAACTGTATATTAGCATATTCTTACAAGGAAATCAGGAACCAGCCAAATTTAAGACCGAGTTACTCAAATTAGCAGACATGAATCAAACCATTGGGAGGATATTTGGGCAATGATTTCTGGATCTCAGATTCTATTGGCTAGGGATTTTGGTGGAAGATATACTATTTTATCAATCTTGCCCTAATGCCAATGATTGAGCCCCAAGGAATAGAAATATAGATCTTCTTCTCAAGATGGTTAAGGGTAACCAGTGAGAAAAGGTGGATTTATGCCATCAAGATTGGTGGGAAATGCAATAAGGTAGAAAAATGTAGGTTGAGGATAGGGCAAGTTACGCTCCCCTGAATGATAATCATGAAATATCCCAAGATAGTTTTTGGGAAAAGGTGTGTAGCATTCGGAATGAATGCAATCTAGGGCAAAAAAATAAAAATAAAATAAAATTGGGGAGCATGAAAGAATGGAAGAAAATGAAAGATTACAGAAAAAGTGAGTGAATCAGAATGAATGAAAGAATGAATGAAAACAATAATTATTTGGGGTTTAATGCTTAATGATAGAGCTTTATGCTTTATGCTTTATGTGTTAAGTATATATCTGTTCATGTTTATGTGTAGCAAAGAAATTAACCTACAAGCATCCTGGGATAGTTTATGAAAAAATGTGAAAGACTTAATAAAGCGTAAGGGAGTTTTTATATTTGGGCAGAACATGTTTTGGTCTTCAGAAAAAATGATGGACAAAGAGCAAAGTAATATTAATAATAAAGTTAAAGTAATTCAGCTGAACATAGCATGCTTGCAAGAAGACAAACCATAATTCCGCCAGATTACATTAGCAATTAGATTAATCTTGCGAATTACTAGAAAACCAACATGAAAAAGGTGCTAGCAACAGACTGAAAAATTGTGATTCAAAAGTGAGTGGGATTATGATACTAATAAACATGAAATATAATGTTAGTGAGCAGCTAAGTGCTTAGACAATGCTTAGTGTTGAACTGGAAAAGATTGTAAACAAGAAAAATATATAAGGGAACAGTTGTGGGAAAGAAAAATAAAGATGAGAGCAAGACAGTTGAATTGCAAAAAAAAAATCTAGCCAATGAGACTAGTTAAGAGTTGGTATTATTAAGAAAGGCAGATAAAATGCCCTTAAAAATTTCCTTCATAATTATTGGAGTAAGCTGAAAATCCTGAACGTGGAGCCTTCTGCAGACTATATAGAGGGTTTTTTGTTTTGGTTTGTTTTTGTTTTTATATAATTTTTTTTTTATTTTTCCAAACTCTCCCCCATACATATACCGTGATATTTATCAGATGTTAAGATACATTCTTTTTACATTCTTATATAAGATACTTTTAATAAAATGAAATAAATACATGTATTTATTTCATTTTATTTATGTATTTATTTATAGTCTGCAGAAGGCTCCACGTTCAGGATTTTATAAGGAACGGTTGCTAGAATTGGGTATGTCTAGTTTAATGAAGAGAAGGACAAGGGGGGACATGATAGCAGTTTTCCAGTATCTCAGGGGCTGCCATAACGAAGCTATTCTCCAAAGCGCCTGAAGGCAGAACAAGAAGCAACGGATGGAAACTAATCAAGGAGAGAAGCAGCCTAGAACTAAGGAGAAACTTCCTGACAGTGAGAACAATTAATCAGTGGAACAGCCTGCCTCCAGAAGCAGTAAATGCTCCAACACTGGAAGTTTTTAAGAACAGACTGGACAGCCATTTCTCCGAAATGGTGTAGGGTTTCCTGCCTGAGCAGGAGGTTGGACTAGATGACCTCCAAGGTCCCTTCCAACTTTACTACTATTACTATTACATACACATGACTTTTGGTGTTGCTTGCCCATTTCCCCTTTCACTGTATCCACACTCCTTCTTCTCTACCTTCTTTCTCCCTTTCTTCTCTTTCTTTCCTACTTCCCTCTTCTTCCTCTCCTCTTCTCTTTCCTTCACCATGCTCCTCCCCTTTCTCCCCACTTCTCCTCTTCTCCTCCAACCTTCCTACTTCCTTCTCCCCTCCTTTACTCTTTTCTCTCTCCTCTCCTTTCTTCCCTCTCATCCCTCTTCAGATACAATTCAGGGGTAATGTCCGAGCAACTCCTCTCCCTATCTGTATTATATACAATAAGATTAATTTTCTCTTACATTAATACTTCTATTTATCTAACCTTCTAGATATATACTTCTATAAATATTTATACAACCTCCAGTTATTCAATACTGTGTCGCCTGGGTCTCCCTTCTTATCTGCTCCTTCTTCTTCCATCTAAATTGATGTTAACCATCTTTTAACCATATTCTCTTTTCAGCCATTCATAGAAAGTTCCCCAGATTTCAGGGTAGTCTGACTCTGTCTTATCTTTAATTGTCATTGTTAGTCTATTCATTTCTGCACATTCCAGTATTTTCCCAATAACCTCTCCCTCTGGGGGGGGGGGCTTTCAATGCTTTCCAATTTTGTGCAAACACAATCCTGGCTGCGGTAATTATGTGAATAATTAAATATGTTTTCTCTTTATTGTATTTCCCTGGTAGAATACCCAACAGGAATATTTCTGGTCTTAGTTCTATATGTTGTTATATTATCTTTTCTATCCATGTTCTAATTATATTCCAATAAGTTTTAGCTTCTACACATGTCCACCACATATGGTAGAAGGAACCTGGCATCTGATGACATTTCCAACATTTCATAGACCTGTCCTTAAACATTTTAGCTAATCTTTCTGGAGATATGTGCTATCTGTAAAACATTTTGTACATATTTTCTTTATACACAGTCGCCATTGTCAATTTATAGTTTCTTTCCCATAGTTGCTCCCATCTATCTAATTCAATTGTGTATCCAAAGTTCCTTGTCCATTTTATCATTGTCTCTTTCACTTGTTCCTTCTCTAACTCCATATGTAGTAGATAACTGTACATTTTTTAAATCCATTTTTCTTCCGTTCCTGTGAGTATTTCATCTAACTCTGTTGTCCCCATGTTTTGTTTTGTTTTTTAAAGGGAAACAATTAGTTGGGATGAAACTGAAGTGAGGGGATGCTGGAAGAAGCATGCAAATATGATGCTACAAATGAGCATGCAAAGAATAGGGATAGTTTGAAGGATGGAACTGAAAAATATGAATAGAATCCTACCGATATTAGCATCAAAGCAAAAGTCACAAAAAGACCATAAATGATGAAAAAAATGGTAGGGTAGGCAAATTAGATGGTGTATCGGGAGAAATTTTAAAATGTGTTTTCAGTGTGAAGTGGTTACAGTGCCTAGGGCTGGGGAACCGAAATTCAAGTTGACCATCAGCCAGGGTACTTCAAAGGATGATTTGGGACCACTCATGCTTTTTCAGCCCAACATACCGTCCAAGATGGGTTTCTGAGGAAGAAAAATCAAGGAGGTATTCCTTTGTCTTGGTCGCCAGGAGGACAAGTGGTGGCACACAAATGTTACAAAGAAATTAATTATGAAATAGTGGAAAATCTGTGTGGCTTATTATACATGGATGTTTAATTTAAAATTGGAAGAAGGCTCATATTGTTCCCATGGAAAGGGAAAGGTAGTGTGGGTGAGTGAAAAGCTACAGGGAGATTGGTTTATTAATTGTTCCTATGAATGTACCTGGGAGAGAGTGAGTAAAATTGGGAAAGTGCAAAAAGATTTTATGTTGGGCAGAAATATACAAGTGATATTGTTGTCCTTTAGGCGGGCAATGGAATTAAGACATTCTTAATTTCTTAAAATTAAGAAATATTTGAATGTGAGAAAATAATTCTATTGCAAGTTTGTTGATTTAGGAAAAGTTTATGATAAAAAGAACAGGCTTGGAATTATGGAATATTTTGTGTACAGTTGAAAGTTGGTTCCTGAATGTGATAATAGAGGTATTAGAGACATATAAAGCAAACATAACAATCAAAGGAACACTTAACTAAGCAGGAAGTAAGACATGAATATGTGATTTCCCCCACTCCCCATGATAGTTAATTATTATACATTCCTTTATAAAAGTATAATGAATGATTATAAGCAGGCTTGCATTGGTTGGGGACATGAATGTGAATATATTTTTATTAATGGGTGAAGTCATATTGTTGGGTGAGAATGTAAATGATCGGCAAATGAACGTTAGCTATGTGAATGGTGCAATGAGGAGTGAAGTAGGAAACTCTCAAATAATTAAATTTGAAAGGGAAAAGGGAGTACAAATTATTAATAAATGAAAAAAATGAAGCAAATGGGCCAATCTATATATCTTGGTACAATGACTATAGATGTAAAAATGGATGGAGAAGTTGACGTAAGTCATATTTTTGAGATTTTTAAAATGACAACCAATTTTGTGTTATACAGTATCATAGGACTGAGGAGAGGCTAATTGTGAAATAGAGATCAATGTTTGTGCTCCAAGTGAGGAAAAATCTTCTAGCTATAAAATGAAGTGAATAGATTTATAAAAGTAAAAATTCAAAATTCTGTAGAAGAGGGGCAATGTTAATGAAAATATATTCTACTTTCACAGTTCAACAGGGACATTAAATTTTATAATTCTAGCAATAAAATATTGAAAAAACTTGACAGAATCTTTTCAAAATAATCTGAAAGAGACAGTGAAGTTAAAGCAAATTAATTTCCAATTCTATCTTTATTTTGACATAGTGAAGATCTGTACATAAATACCTGAACAACGTGGTGCTTGTGACCAATGTTTCTTCAAACATTTAACGAAAGGAGACCCAAGAAGAGCATAACGTGGGTTGCATCGATACTGCACCTTCTCCTGAGGCAAATACATCTCCTTTATTGTACTAACAATTCGACCATTTTGAATTTGAGGGGGAGAAGAACATCTTACATCTAAAATGATAATTAAAAAATGGTCCCATTTAGATAAAATGCATTGGTTTTCTCAAAGCAAGTGTCTCTAAACATGCTTCCACTTTTGAAACCAAAACGGATCATGCACATCATAGGACACAGAAAATACAAGGGTGGCCATGCAGGCTTGAGGCTGCTTCCTTTTGAGGTGAAGGGAATGTGAGGCTACAGACAATGGAACCTCCTCTTCCTCCTACAGTGCCTGTTTCTATCCTTCTTGAAGAAATGACATTGTGTGCTTTCAATCATCACTATCACGATACTGTACCTGATCAGCCATACATGAATGGTGGTGGTGTGTTTGTGTAAGTAATTTCCCCTGAAATTTATTTTGTAGGATGAGTGTCAACCTGGGGGTTGGGGGAACCTGTATAAAATCTCTTCACTAATTTTGTTTGTAAAAGCTAAAGAAGAATACAGCGTTGGTACATATTTGGTAACTGTGTATTAGAGCAATTCTGAAAGGTTGTATTTCAAAACTGGATTATCCTGCAAGAAATTTAATCAGATAAATCCTTCTATGAACTGCATGCAGAGAACAAGTTGTCTAATAAACCTCTGCATGATGACTATTCTGGCCTTTCCCTTTCCAATCAGTCTCTCACAAAACTGGATATCAAAGTAATGGTGGCAATTGTGATCATCTAGGCTGTGTGGGAGATGGTCTTTGCTGGTGCTTGGAAACCGTCAGATCTGGATGAGAGAGAACAGACTGATATATACTGTAGGTTGTTAAGCCCATTTTTTTTGCTTTACTGTTTTTGTGGTTGATTATATTGAGAATATTATATTTGGGTTTTATACTTTATACCAGCAGCTAAGAATCTCTAGATTGTGATGGGGTATAAGTGGTGGAAAAATAAATAAGCTTTATCATTCAAGGCAAACAAGGCAGCCACAGGTGCTACTTCCAGACACAAAAGTTGCACTAATCTAAACTCTTTCCTTCATGTTGGGTCTCCATGACTTCACCTAGACTGGATATCAGGCTGACCCCGATTAGGAAATGCTGAAACGGAAGGAACACTACCAAGAGTGTTGAGCTGCATTTCCTCTTGAACAGACATTTCCCATTGGAGGAACTTCAACTTCACTCCCATCTCCCAGCTTTCGGTGTTTCCATCTTCTAGAGCTCAAGATACCAGCTACTATTGGCAATGGTCTCCCTATCCTTTCTAATTAATCTGAAGAGTAGTCTTGCAAATCCTCTGAAAAGTGGAAATTTAATTTTTTTCCCCTGACTATTTAAAGACTATATTTTGCTCCTTCTTAGTGGCCAACTGGAAAGAACATTGACCTTCTTTGGAAGCAGATGAGGGAATCTGTGGGATGGAAGTTGGGCAACTGGGGATGGGTGGAAAAATGATGACTGTCTCAAAATGCCCACAGGCTTATCTATTTGTCAAACAGGAAAACTAAGAACAATGACACAGGACCAGCTCCTCCTAGGGTGAGTGGTTCAGATTAATAATATTTCATTTCTGAATTAAAAAAAAATATGTACTCTTTAGGTGAATTTTGGCTTTCAGCAAAAATATGTCAAGCATATCCTAGAGATCACACATTCCTACCTTCACAGCTTGGCAAGCGTGACCACTTCTTTTTTGTACATATTACAGAACCTGATCCAGATATTTCAAAACCATCATTACACTGATAATTTATTTTCTCGCCATGTACATACTTCTTCATTGTATCTTCTTCAATTTCGGCATTTTCAACTGTAGGGGGTTCTGGACAGGTTGCGTCTAAATGGAGAAAGAATTACAAAAAAGTAATATTTACTTTTATTAATTTGTTATCAGGGATAAAGATAACAGTGCTAGGATTTTTCAGACATTCACTAAAGCAGATAAGGATCAAAACCAGAATGTTACATGACTAATTTAGATTTTAAAAATATTCTACTGTATCTCTATATTGGGATTAATGGTATTTTTTTTAGAATGTTCCTCTGTATTCAATTTTTCAGAAGAGCTATTCTCATATTTAATAGAAGAGAAAAAGTGAGGAAACTCATTTGCTAGAACAATTGTTCTGCTGCGTGGATATTAAATCATTAAATCATGTTTATTCTAGTACAGATCCTAAATGGCTAATTTCAATTTTTTGAAGTGATTCAAGAGAGATAGAAGAGAGATATAGGCCAAAAATAAATTATGACAACATATATCATCCATATTAGGCCAGCTCAAGTCACAAAATTGTTCACATGTTGGTCAATTCCAAGAATTCTCCTATTGGTTAATTTAAACAAGCCTCCTTTGCCCATACAATGGCAAGAATCATTCAGTCTCTGAAACAACAAATGCCTGATTGCCTGAGTCTCCACAGATTCAAAAAGTAAGACAGCAAGTGTGGCCTCTTTCCTTTAAATACCATTTTTCAACAATTCTGTTTAGAAAACAATTACCTGGAGTAATTCAAAAATAAAATAACTGTACCAACACAAGTGAACGATCCCATCCATTCTCCTTTGCTACATGTTTTGCTAGCATTGCCTTCAGCATAAAATCCTCGATTGCATTTATAGTTTATTATTTCTCCAGGATCATATTCTTCTCTGTCTTCTTGCTGCAATGAAGCATTGTGGATTTCCGGGGGTGGACCACATGACTTTTCTGAAAAACAAAATGGAAAAGGCTACTTTCAACACAAATTAACTTATGCTGATTTCTTTAAACATTAACAATTCTGCATATCATTATCAATGCCAGTTTTTTAAAAGTTAAGATGCGAGAGCCCAGTTCAATGTACCCTAACCTTTGGAAAGAATTCCTTCATGGGGGGCTGTATGTTTCAGAAGTCCAATACATTTTTTAAATAGAATCCTAAATATTGCAGGAGATTATGAGATATAATCTAGACTATTAAATCAGAAGAGCATAATTTAATGTTGTGTTATTTAAGTATAACTGCAGTGTGTATTTACTAAAATTCATTTTCTTTCGCAAGGGAATAAGCTGAAGAAATTGATTAAAGTTTGGTTTTTGATTTGCAAAAAATGCTTCTCTGCCCTGTTTTTCTCTAAAAGAAACCACCAAAAGTTTTTGAGTTGTTTCAGGATTTAGTAAAACTACATTCTAAAAGCAGATCAACAGAAACTAATGGGAACTATTCTAGATGCCACAGGACAGAGTCGTAGAGTGTGCCATTTCTGAAGATGTTGCCCTTATGTACAAATGACTGGTTTAAGGTTTGAGTTTTACAAATAATTTCTTGCATCCATTTTCTGGAAAATGGCTATTGGAAGTTGAAAAGCTCACCCTGACTGTCCTATTTTTTTTCTAAACAAATATTAAAATGTTCTTTCTTGAAGAGGAATACGAGTGGTTATGGATTATCTACAAAAACAAACTCACATCAAAGAAAGGTATTTCAGATTCCAACTCCTGCAATGCATCTTCAACACAGAGAGGAATATGGAAAGTTGCTTTGTGAAATTTTATTTTTAACTTTAAAAATATCTTAAAGGGATCAGGTCTTTATTTAGTAAGAAACGTCAAATTGCTCTAGATCTCTTGTGGACAATTTACCTGTTTGGTCTAAGTATCTAATGCTTGGGAGATAATGTCTAAATATCTAAAGAATCAGACTTTTCCTATCTTTATCCCTCTAAATTGATGTACTGTAACTAAGAGCTTTTGGGCAAAAATCCCAACTGTCTCATTATAATTTCTATTTAATTTGAGCTTTTTCCAGTATAATACGAGAATATGGTCATTCCAGTCTTATTGATAAATAACATTGCAGGTGTATTCAGTAAGATAAGAATTGATTTATCTGCTACATATAGGCTGAGTATAGGTAATCAGCACTTCCACTGTTCCATTTGTCAGGAAATCCTTGTAAATGACAATAGTACTGTTATGTCCCGAGCCTTGCAAACGGCTCAGGCGTTTGCAGGCAGTCCCGGGCAGGTGCAAAGCTGCCCGGGACCAGACAGGCTGTCGCCAGCGCCGTGCGCATGCGCGGGTGCTGGCGCGGGAAAAGTATCGCATTTACCCGGGAAATGTCTATATAAGAAGTTGGGAGGTTTTGGGAGCTGCAGAAGCCATCTACTTGTAAGCTGAACGCAGAATAAAGAAAACTGAGAACTTCAACTGCTTCTCGTGTCTGCTTCCCGCCACGGACTCAACACTGGCGACGAAGGTGGGATTGCCTTACACCGCCTGGAAAGGAAGAAGTGTAAGCTTACCCAAGTGAGTCCTGAGCGGCGGAACGGCGTCGACTCGGCAGCTACCCGCCAATCCAGTGCGCATTCGGGGGTAGGCTGGCTGATAGACCCGTCTCCTGAAGATGGCAAAAATCGGAAGGCTTTCGGAATTCGACGTCTCACATCCAGAGCGGTGGGAGTCATACGTAGCCAGGGTGGAGAACTACTTCAAGGCAAACCAAGTGAGGGAAGAGAGCTTGAAGGCTGCCACCCTGCTTTGTGTTTGCGGCCAAGACGCCTTCGACATCGCAGAAAACCTTGCAGCACCTGTTCCAGTAGAGTCTGTAAGCTACGCAGATCTGAAGAAGCTACTGAAGGAGCACTTCCACCCCAAGATGTCCGTCATCGCATGGCGCCACACCTTCGAGCAGAGGGATCAACGGCCCGGTGAGTCGGCCAAAGAATTCATCGCCGCATTACGGAAGGCCGCCAAGCACTGCGAGTTCAAAGACCTCGAAGAACGACTGAGGGACCGATTCGTGTGCGGGTTAAGGCATCGAGATCTACAACAGAGACTTTTCGCTAAAGAAGAATTGTCCTACCAAGATGCCTTAAGGGAAGTCACCGCAGAAGAAGCAGCAGGCGGCGCTGTCAAGAACATGCGGCCGATCAGAAACAGTCCAGAGGTTGCATCCGTGCACCAGGAAGACGTCCAAAGAAACTCCGAGGAGGATCCGGACGAGGAAGTCAACCGTCTCCACCCCACAAAGGAAGAAAAACAGAAGGGAAGCTCTTCAGCTCCGCTCAAGTGCATCGGCTGTGGAGGTCACCACAGGAGAACCAACTGCAAGTTCCGCTCCGCTACCTGCCGGGCATGCGGCAAACAAGGACACATTGCAGCTGTGTGTCTGGGCCGACGAAAGGTACAACCTCAGGAAGAACCGCGCCTGAAAGGTACCAGATTCCCCAGCCAGAATAGGGTAGGGTTTTGCGCTTCGCGAAGACGCATCCTTAGGACAGGCACACACAAGCCAATTAAGAAAAAGCTGTCACTCAAGGTGAAGCTACAAGGGGTTCCATTATCTATGGAACTAGACACAGGGTCTGCCCTTTCAATTATCTCCTTGCATACATTTAGGAAGATTTGTTCCGGTAGTGGAACTCAGGCCAAGTTAAGGCCTTCTGACATTGTGTTAATAGATTTTCAAAATTCAAGAGTGTGTGTTAAGGGGGAGGCCACCCTTAACGTGCAATACAAGAGTTTTGAAGGTCCACTAGACTTATTAGTAGTAGGGGTGAACGAACGAGTCTCATAGGACTCGATTGGTTTGAGGCCCTGGGGATACACGTCACAGGACTCAACAGTTTACAAACACTCGACCTACAGGAAGTCTGCAAAGAATTTGCAGATGTTTTCAGCCCCCAGCTGGGCACATTCAAAGGACCCCCTGTGTCCCTAAAGCTAGACCCCACTGTCACTCCCATTAGAATTAAAGCAAGAAGGGTCCCTTTTGCTTTAAAGAGTAAAATTGACACTGAGTTAGACAAACTGACCCAACAGGGAATCCTAGAACCTGTTGATTCCAGTCCTTGGGAGACCCCCATTGTCACGCCTCTAAAGGCAAATGGGGACATTCACATTTGTGCTGACTACAAATGCACTCTGAATAAGGCATTGCAGCAACATGCCTATCCTGTTCCTGTGGTCAGTCATATTCTGGCCTCCCTCAAGGGGGGGGGGCGTGTTTTTGCAAAGCTTGACCTAGCTCAAGCGTATCAACAGCTGCCTGTTGATGATGATGCTGCTATAGCTCAGACTATTGTGACCCACAGGGGAGCCCTTAAGGTAAAAAGGCTGCAGTTTGGAGTGAATGTCGCTCCTGGGATTTTCCAAAGCGTAATGGAAAACACACTGCGGGGCATACCGGGGGTTTGCCCCTACTTTGATGATGTCTTAATTGCAGGAGACTCCACACACCTTCTAGCTGAAAGGCTAAGAGCTGTTCTGTTAAGATTCAGGAAATCAGGCCTCAAGCTCAAAAAAGACAAATGCATGATTGGGGTGCCTTCTACTGAATTTCTGGGGTTCAAAATTGATGCTGCTGGGATTCACCCTGCTGAATCCAAACTGATTGCTATTTTAGAAGCACCTAGGCCAAAGTCCAAGGCCGAACTTCAGGCCTTCCTGGGCCTCCTGAATTTCTACAATTCTTTTCTTCCACAAAAAGCTAGTGTAGCTGAGCCTCTTCACAGGCTACTAGACAAGCAAGCAGTGGGGCAGTGGTCACAAACGCATGAGGGTTGTTTTAACAAAGTCAAGGCTTTGCTCACTTCTAACAGTGTACTTGCACATTTCAACGAGTCTCTTCCTGTGTGCATCGCTTGTGATGCGTCCCCTTATGGGGTTGGAGCTGTCCTGAGCCACCTCAGGTCTAATGGAACTCAGGTTCCTGTTGCATATTACTCCAGAACATTGTCTTCTGCTGAGCGCAACTACGCTCAGATAGACAGGGAGGCTCTGACTGTTGTTGCTGGAATTAAAAAATTCCATGACTTTCTATATGGCAGGCACTTCACGGTCTTCACTGACCATAAGCCTCTGCTGGGACTGTTTACCACACGTAAGCAGACTCCCCAAATCATTTCCCCTAGAATGCTTAGGTGGTCTATCTTTTTGTCTGCATATGATTTTTCCTTACTCCACAAGCCTGGAAACGAAATGGGCCATGCTGATGGCCTCAGTAGATTGCCTCTGCCAGTAGTAGAAGCTGACCCTGCGCCAGCTGTCAACATTCTATCAATCCAAGCGTTGCCCAAGCTCCCTCTTAGTGCCAGGGATGTTGCCGCTGAATCAGGTACAGATCACACACTTTCACGTGTCTGTTCCTGGGTTTTGTCTGGTTGGCCTGAGCACTGCCCTAGTCCTGAGTTTCAGAGTTTCTGGTCCAAAAGGAACGAGCTGTCCCTTTCTCAGGGTTGTCTGCTTTGAGGAAACAGAGTTGTCATTCCCACCTCAATGAGGACTAGGGTCTTAGAATCCCTCCACAAGGGTCATCCTGGCATTGTTCGTATGAAGGCTCTTGCGCGCAGCCACTTGTGGTGGCTTGGTTTAGATAAAGATATTGAGGCTAAGGTGCATGCATGCCACCTGTGCCAACGATCTCACCCAGAGATGCCCCAAGCTCCCGTGCATAGATGGGAGGAAACACAGTCCCCATGGTCTAGGGTGCACATTGACTACGCTGGACCCTTTCAGGGCCAGTTCTTTTTGGTCCTTGTTGACAGCCATTCGAAATGGCTTGAGGTTGTACCTGTCTCATCCACCACCACTGCAAAGACTATTCAGGTACTGAGGGGGATTGTTGCTGCACACGGGCTGCCAGATGTCATTGTGTCCGACAACGGCCCTCAATTCACTTCCTCCGAATTCCAAGCCTTTTTACAGGCAAACATGATTCGTCATGC